TAATAGTCAGTCCATGCTTGTTCTTGGATAAATACAAATATCTGTAATAACAGAACAAAAGTTTGCAGGTTGGCCACTACTGTTACCTTCTGTTGTCTGTCTCTAAGGTTTTAGGAATTCTGAACAGAACTGGTTCAAGACCCAAGCTAATTTGGTAGAAAACATGTATCAGTGGGCAGTTAGTGTTGAGTAATGCATTACATATCACTAATTACCTTCATTTGAAAGTAATAAGCAACTAGTGTAGAGTGATGTGTTGTTGATAACACTACTTTTGCATTACTTTCACCCAAATGACTTAAGAAGTATGACTAAGTGTTGTAAATGGAGGGTCATGTTTCATCACATGTATTCAAAGCACAGAAGCTCAAGTTTATTGTTCATTACAAATCCAATGGTTTGCGATATTGTATAGCTAATAAAGGCTCTTCTCTTGAGTGCAGGTCTGGCCCATTTGTGCAATCATATACAGTGGTTGCACAAACTTTTTATTCAAAGTGTGATGATGTAGACCAATTAATCAGCCTAGACCTTTTCAATAAAAGCCTTGGACACAGAAAGGGTCAGGCAGAGGATCAAAGTCTGATCAATTATGAGATAGGGACTAATATTTGTAGGCCTATCATATGAAACACAAAAAAATAAATGCAGAGGTTACCACAACCAAAATGGATTGGCGTGCAAGTAAGGTTGATGATGATGATGAACACAAATGAAATGACAGAATTGGAAGAGCCACCGGTGTGCCGTTCAGCTACAGCAGCACCAGAGATAGAACTATATATAAGAATGGGATGGTGCATTAGTGTTGCTTCACTGTTGAAGGGGTTGTGAATGGAAAAACATACAGCATGCTAACCCACATTCAATGGCACCACCCAAATGTGCCGATCACCAGGACAAGGAAAAACACACTGGAGTCCAACTCCTTATCCCTGCTGCTTTCAGGCAGCCTTTAGATGTAACATTGTACATTTTGCAGGTATATGAATGTATACACATTAAGTGTACTACCAGATGTTGCGATTACCGGCATCCATCTATATCATAACCTATAATGACATGATAAAGACACAAAAACCAAACTTTTTTTTTAATTCAAAAATGAACGAAAAGATGAAATCAATAAACAGTTGATTCCAAGTAGTAACGTGTTAAGTGACATTTTTAATGTAATAATATTACCTGAAATACCTGAAATCCTGTTAGTAGTGTGTTATATTACTTTGTTACTGCTAAAATGTAATATATTACTGTAACATATTACTTTTGTAGCAGTACTTTTGCAACGTGTTACTCACAACACTGACCGCAGGTGTAGATATCATTGTTGTAGCTCCCATACTAAATCATACCACTATCTCCACTCCACGCTAGCTAGCAAGTTCTGCTGAGCATCCCACACAACAGTACTTACCAAAAACTTTCAGCTTCCTGCTTCAAGCTGCCACGTTATTTAGGTTTTTGTAAAAAAAAGAAATTGAGATAGTATCGTACACTTAACTCCTCATTTCAACCTTGTGAATCAGCTGATCTTTGTCCATTGTGGCGCTTTCCACGCAATTTTTCTCATAAAATGGGTAGGATGATATCCTACGAAAGATAT